CGTCCGCGACTCCGGTGGGCAACTGCGCGGCGGCGGCGCGGAGATGGTCTGGGATCTCCTCGGCGGCGTCTCGCAGCACGCGCATCTCGGCGATCTGCGCGTCGTGCAGCAGCGCATCGAAGGCGGCGCCGTCGCCAGGGCACTCGATGTAGTACCGGTCGTTGCGCAGGATGAGCTTCACCTTGCCGTAGCGCTCTGTGCACTCGGCGACCATCGCGCGGACCTCCTCGGGCAAGCCGCACTTTGAGAAGCGCTCGAGGCCGGCGGTGATGTCCTGTGTGCGGAGCCCCATCGAGGCACCCGCGTACAGCGAGTACTGCGTCAGCTGGTACTCCTGCATGTGCCGCGTCCGAGAGACGGGCTCCGAGATGGCGACGAGCAGGTCGAGCGCCTGCGCATAGACGGGCGACGACGCCTCGAGCACAATCCGGCCGTCGGGACACACCCAGAGAGGCCGCGACGCCGCGTGCTGCTTGAGCTCCAGCTCGCGCCGAAAGTCTCTGCAGCCGCTCGTGTCGTCCGCGCCGTCCGCGGTCGACTCCATCAGCCCGGCGGCCAGCGTCCGCTGCGTGCGCCGCTCCTTCGGAGGCGGAGCGACAAACTCCTGCGGTATGCCGTCATACTCGCCGCCATCATCGTACTCCGCAGCCGCCTGCGCGTCGCCGCCATCCAACCCGGTGATCTTCACCTTCATTGAGGGCCAGGCAGCCTTGCCCTGTCCTATCCGACTGAGTACGGCCTTCATGAGTGCGATACCCACGATCAAAAAGAATTTTAGGAACGCACGACACTGGGCACGGGACTGGCTCGCAGTGGCACTAACACAGGACATACAGACAGAGGCCGAGTTTAAAAAACAGGAACCGAAGAACAAGGAAAAGAAATCGGGGGGCGGGGGGGGGGGCGGGGCTGTGACCCCAAAGGGGTGCGTGTGTGTGGCAAACAACTACGGTCTCGGGAACCGTACCCATACTACTCAAAAGTACAATATACTACCACAAAGCACCACTAGCGATTTCGCGCGGAGGGCGTAGTGAAGCGCTGGGGCGCTCACTGTGTGTTAAAAGAACTCGTGTCCAAGAACTATCTCTTCCTGTGTCCGTCTTCGGGACTGGCGCGCACCAACACAGGTGCACCACGGGAGCCGCCTAAGCGACTCCCGCGAGGACGTGCGAGAAAACGCATGTTACCACAGCTCGCTCGCACGACACTGGGCACGGGACTGGCGCGCACGCCCAGGTTGTGGCCCAGGACTCAACAATGACTCGTTCTGTTGCCATCCCAAACTGTCACTCCCCTTTCTCCCGGCCGGGGTGGGGCGCGCGCGGGGGCGGCGGGTGTGCGGGATGTCTGTGGGGGCCCGAGAGCGATGTGTCATGTGTGTGTCCGCCTTCGTTTGTTTCATTACATCGAAGGTGTGAGTGAGTGAGTGTCCATCACTCTCTTACAATACATCGAAGGCGAGCTCAAAAGAATTTCCGCCGGTCTGGCCTAACTGCATGTCGCAGTGGAGCCTCGAGGGTGACAGCACGCTCGAAGGCGACATCACGATCGATTTGCCGTGCACGGAGGGTGCCGCCAGCGCTTTCGATCTCGGCCGCGCGCGACTGTTTGGCGCTTACGGCAAGGCATTTGCTCACGGCACCGTCAGCCGCGTCCAGTGCAGCCTAACGG